TCAAACACTCAAACAAAGGTTCAAGTGAACAATCAATGTTATAAACTCAAGCTTCTCACTCTCCTTTTTTTATTATTACCAAGCCACGCGCACATTCTTATTCCCTTCAAGTGACTTGTTATTTTCAATATTTACTTACCCCAAACTTAATAACTCGCTCACTCTTAAAATGCACACTCACATTATAAGCCTAGCTTAACTAAGGTCTTCAGTCAACTCCTTTTTTTTTATCTCAACACAAATTTCCATTGGCTTAAAGAGGACAACACTACACATGGACGGTAACACAAACAAAACTCCTTCGTGGAACTAAAACACAAACACACTTGTAAAAAAATAAAAAAATAAAAATACGAAGACTTAAACAAAACATAACAAACAAACTAACTAACCACTACTTAAATCCTATTTAATGTTTCAGCCAGCATCCAATAAAGAAATAAAAGTCTTCTCTTTGTTCACATGTCTGCTCCAATAATGCTTTACCCATTGAATTTTGCATGGAAACAATTTGATTCTTATCTTGAAATTCAGAACAATTTGTCCTGTATCCAACCAATTGATTATTTTCTTTTGAATCAAATCTTTCAAGAGTGGGTTGGCTGGTTTAGACTCTATATGATTGAAATTGCCTTCTCCTAAGTTAGTATTTTTACTATTTAAAAACACATTATCATTAACCAGATGATCCCAAACAGAAATAACAGAACAATCATTAGAATCTTCATCAATGAAATTCTTGGCTTCTAAAACATTAAAAGTTATCTTTCCCTCATTAACTCCCATGGTTAGTTCTCCTGTTTTAAAATCAATTATAGCATTCTCCATAACTAAGAATGGCCTATTCAATATAATAGGCATATCCTTGTCAGCTTCAAAATCAACTATTATGAAATTTGCTGGAAAAATAAACCTATAAACTTTCACTGATTTGTTCTCTATTTTTCCATCATGGTGTGCAAGTGACCTATCAGCTATTTGAGGAGTTATTGTAAAAGAACCTGGATTTTCCAGCTTGGCTGACAAATTGTTGGAGAGACAGTGCTCCTGTTGCTGCTCTTGGAGTCTTTGAGGAGAAGGGATCTGTCTTGCCTTTGATATAGGTTGATGAGCCTCAATATTGTGCATAGGCTTGTCTAATTCATTTGATTTCATTGCTGCCCTTACTGGTTCAACAATGTTTTCCTCTTCATCATCTTTGTCTTGAGGTGAGGATTGAGTGGTTGATGGTTGGGTTGTAACAAAGTTATCCACTTGCTGTCCATTCCTCAAGTTGAGGGCTTTGCACACTTCTTTTCCATCCCTTTTAGGTATTTCTGTGTCACTTGGTAGTGTCTCCAAAGGTCTACTACTAAGGGCAGAAGCAATCTGCCCCATTTGTATCTCAAGGCTCTTCAAGATAGCTCCATGACCTTGAAGCATAACTTCATGATTTTCTAGCATTTGATTCATCCACTGCTCATTTGGAGGTTGAGCTTCTGCAACATGTTGCTCTAGCTGTTCAACAAAAGAAGACTGCACAAAACAAGGTAAGTAAGGTTCATCCGGTTCAAATGACTGCTGCCATCCATGATAAGGCTGCTGGTATTGGTAACTTTGGCCTTGATTTTGGGCAAAATTACATCCTTGGTTCAGCCATCCCTGCTGATCAAATTGGTTGTGGTTGTTGTAATTGTAGTTGAAGCCTCCCATATAAAGAACCGATGTTAGGTTGTTGGGGCATTCTTCAAATAGATGAGCACCATAGCAAAGTGAGCACATAGGTGTTGTAGCAACTATTGGAGCTGGGGCTGGTTACTTGGATTCTTCCATAACCATGACCAAATCCTTCATTGTGTTACGCAAAGCTGCGAGTTGAGCTGCCAATGCCATTGTGATTCCCCTGTAGAGTGTTTAACAACCAAACTTTTTTTTTTTTTTTAGATTTGGCAGAATGCTAAGTGTATCAATCTGTTTTCACAGCAAAAAATTATTGATCTGCAAAATCTACAAGGAAAATGTAAGTTCAAGAAAAATTAAAAATGAAAATGAAAGAAAACCAATTCAAGAACTAAAAGACAGAATTTTAAAAAGAAACTAAATCAAACACCGCTCCCCGGCAACGGCGCCATTTTGTTGTGTAGTATTTTTCTCAAGAGAAAGAGTTATCGTTCTCAGGGAACGGTTTGTTTAGTTTTCCTTTTTTAATTCCTATTTCTAATTTCTTGAAATTAAGTGATCAATCTTTTAAAACTAAGAAAAGACTAAATCAAACAAGGTAATTATCAGATTTGTATTAAACAAAATTTAACAGAGGAATATCTAATCACAAATGTATCAATTATATGGTTCTGGAATTCTTTTGATCATGGATGAAGGAAAAATTTCGCATTCCTGCGTTTTATAACTGCTACGGCACTTTAGTATCAGAATTCGAATTACTATGGCTATTTTATCTGAAACTTCCCAGTTCCAGATTTTAATCTTTAGAAGGATCTTTTCCCAAAGTCTTCTAAATCTTTAAAAATTGTATCAAAGACCTCCTTGGGTTATCCCTAACCTCAAGGGTTCAATTAACAAGGGACATAACCTGATTTCCCAATCACAATTATGCAAAAATTACTCCAAGATCCATTCCCATGGTGTTCTTGGACTTAAAATCAAAATCTTGCTAATCAAATGAATCTAAAGCAAACCATCACAGTATTCAGAAAAATAAAAGATCACCCAATCATCGTGAATCCCAGAAAGGAAAAGATCAGAAACCCATATTCAAAAATATTACAAATCTAAAAGTAAAGAAACTTGCATCACAAACATTCATGAAAGAAAACTCAAGGTAAAAGTTTATAAACCGGTTCTTCAAGAGTCAAAGTTCCTAAACTAGAGCTAGGAAGAAAACTTGCAGTAGTATGAAAACAATAACTCGCATGCAGATCCGTGATTCCTTTCCTTGAAGGTGCGTTGTCAATGCACTTCGAGTACAAGAATTGAAGAACAAGCATTCAGCTTTCAAGGAATTTCTCAACACTCAGATTCAAAGAAAAAGATTACAAAAGATTCAAAACATAAAACTGAAAACTAAAAAAAACGAAAGTTCTCTATATGTGGCCCTAATGACTCAGACTCCTATTTAGCTAGAAACTAAAGAGCTCCAAGAAATTGCATTGCTGTCCATCCATATTTTTGTCCATCCAATGGTTCAGATTTGATCTCACTTTCAAAGAGTTGATCATATGGCTCTCTAACTGCAGTAAAAATAGTAAAAGAGAATAGTAAATTATCAAATTATCTCTTTCTCTCTCTTTTACCTTATTGGGCTGATTGGTACTCATTTGGCCCATTACCATGCACTTATATCCAGCCTTCAACTCAAATATTGTAAAAATAAAGCCATTAAAATAATCATAATTTATAGCTAACATCGAGTCAACAATGAAAGTTGATTATTAGTGTTGTGTATTGATTGTCGACACTCGGAGCTCACTTATGTATTTGTGTCTGAGGTTGTCCTATTTTTAATTTATGTATACATGCATGTATGAGTGATTATGTTGAAAAACATGATTTTTCTCTAATGAAGACATTATTGTTGAGCATGATATATATTTTCTACTAAAGTACCATATTAATTGGGGAGAAGAACTAATATAGTGGTACATTGAATGAGCTATGCCAATTTGATAGTGTAGAACCGTCAAAATTCTTACTGGCTTTATTTCTACTATGATTTTATAATAAAACCAATGTATGAAACCTTTTGTATCTATACACTAAAGTGTATATATCTTCAAATCATAGAATAAAATTTTATGACATGAGCACAGTGGTAGAACGTAAAACTCATGTATAAAATAAATGTTTATTTGATTTAATGAAAAGGGAAAAAATGTAATATTGGTGAAAGAAATTACAAAAAAAGATAATTGTTCATATACTTGTCATTATTAAAAAGCAAAAGGTGTTATTTTTCAAAAAGATATAGGAAACGTAAAAACACCATCAAGGTCTGCCCATAAAAATTACACTTCAAACCTATCAAGGAGGTTTTAAAGATCAAAGAAATTTCTACAGTATGGATAAATATAAGGGATGTTATATTTACGATATTTTTTTTTATAATTATTTTGTTATAATTGGATCAAAATAAAATCAATAACACTCACTTGATATCATTTTGTAACTTTTGATTTGATTTTGATTTAACAATAACAAGATTGATGGTAAGCGGAAATAAAAAAAAGTGGTAAATATAACCTCCCAAGATTTATATTCCTAATTTAATATATTTATGTGAAAACATGAATTTCTATGATTCAGTTATGTTCTTATACAATGAAAACTAACATAAATGACATAAATCTATGTTTACATTTTCTTCATAAAATCGATGCAATGTCGTCCCATTTCTTAGTTTTGGAGATTTTTGATGACTTGGATAGATCGCCGACAAAATTTTTAAGGTAGCGTTTGATGCGCGAATATCATAGAATAGATCGAGTGTTTTATTTTATTCTGTGTGTTTTTATTTCATTTTATCCCTTTTATTGAAATCAAAATGACTTATTTTTTTTAATATATGTTCTGTTTTATTTTATTTGTAAAATAAACTAAATATAAAGTATAATTCATATGTGAATTCAGTTGCGTCTGAACATGCCTACCAAACATCATCTATTGTAGGAATAAAGTGCAATAAACTTGCATATTAGGTTTGAAAAATAATAAACCAATAAACAGGAGATGATCTGCTATTAGCAGTGATCTGAAAGGAGCATGGATGCTCCAAAGAACTTTGGTATCATTGTGGACAGCATGTTAGGAAACTTAGGATGGAAGTGAATGAACCAGTTTGGTATGACATGTGGTGATGATAGCTATGCGTACGTATAGGTTCCGTTTCGGAATTTGGCATGTGATGATGGCTACTTAATTATGAGAAGGGAGATGAGCTGTGAATAATACATGGCTTTGAAGACTACATGCTGAGTTACGTGGGAAAATTGTTCTGCCTTATAGAATATGAATCACGAGGGTTCTCACCCTTCAAAATTTTGGTTTTACGATGAAACATTAATGCGCTATAGAAGACTTAGTTATGATGATAACTGTACCGCGTGCATTTGAAAAACCAAATGCACCTTATGGATTATAGATGAGTATTCAATTGCGTCTTGTGGATTATAGATGAGTTTCTAATGACAATGTACGAACATTCTGCCACACTGTTCACAAATATTTACTCGATTGCTGTTCACTAAATTTTTTTTTTCCTAAATACCACGTCATCTAACCCGCTACAAGGCATAGCGAGTTACGCGTGCACATACGGCTGCCAGTTTGAGGCCACGTAATCTGCTTTACAGTGCAGCAACTTATGCCACATAGACAGTGCAGCAACTTAGGCCACATAGACGTGCTAGTTTGCGCAGTCTACTAAAGCAGTATGACCTGACATAAACTACTACACTATGCAATGCAGCTGATTACGTGGCATAATCGCTACAATATGTAGCGGATGACGAGACATCGCCCTCCCTCTTGCACGCATAGGTGACACATGTCACAATCAGGGCAAAACTACTGCAAAGTGACGCAGTTTATGTGCAGACTCCACTCTATAGCAACGGTCCCCCCTGGTCCCCCACTCTCTCAATTGTTGGTCCCCCACTCTCACTCACCCTCTGTCTTTATTAAACTAACTCAAGTTCTCTCTCCAACAAAGGTTAATTTCTATAATTTTTTATTTAAATATTATTATGATATATTAATAAACCCTAGGATAGGTGACTTTTTTTATTTTTTTTATTTGAATTAGAATAAGTAATAACTATGATATTTATTATTTTGAATTTACAACTGAAAAAAATAATGAATATTTAGGTTTAAATAATTTATTATAGGATAACGAAAAATAATAATGAATATTTGTTATAGGATAATTAGTATTTGTAATTTTATATTTTGAATTAAAATTATAAATAGCCTTTTGATATAAAATTTGAATATTTAGGTTCAAATAATTTATGTTAATTTTGTTTATTATAGGATAGATGACATATTTTTGTTAAATTAATTAGAATAAGGTGATTATATTTATTTGAAGACTTAAAATCGTAGGTTAATTTATATAATTATGTGTTTCTCTGTATTATTATTTATAAATAGTTTGATTAATTTATTTGTATTATTTTGTACCATAGATTCATGGCTTCCTCGTATGATTCACTGCTTGATTCTCCGCTTGGTTTATCGTCTCACGAGGAACATGAGCCTACACCTCCTGGCTCCCCAGGATCTCCTCGTAGTGTCATTACATCGAGCCCTATTGACCCTTTTCTCCTGAGGTTATAGTAGAAGCACATTTCCACATATGTGTGGAATGGTGCGAATGATCGGGTGCTTAATGTCAAACACGATGCAACACATGATTGTTTCACATACCTCACGAGATTGAGCAGTACTTGAGACATGCTGGTTTCTTCCACGTTGCGCGGCTACGCAACCACGATGTACGTATTTCATTTATGACTTAATTTGGTTCATATGGATTTATTGTAATAATTTGACAACATCACACATTTTTTGCTGTTTCAGATTGATCATGCTCTTAGTTTCATGCTTGTCGAGCTTTGGCAGTCTGAGATCCAGACTTTTCATATGGCGCATAGTGAGATAACGATCACATTAGAGGATGTACACCATCTGTTGGGTTTTCCCACGGATGGTGAAGTTATTTCCAGTCGTGCTAGACAACATGATTGACAGCATTTGCTACTGCAAAACCTGGGACTTATGCCAGCTACAGACCCAGATTTGCAGGGTGGTCAGGTGAGCCTTCGATGGTTGCGCCAGGCATATGTTCATTATGCTCCTCATGCTGGGACTGAGGC